TTCCTCCCCCCTTCTCCCCTTTCTCCACCCTTCCCCTCCTTTCCCCCCTCCTACATTCCTTCTCCCTCCTCTCGTCCTTCCTCCCTCTTCCTCCTCTCCTTCCTTCTCTCTTCCCCTCTTTCTCCTTCAGGGATGCACATCCTTCCTTTCCCCACGGCCACCACCATGTATGGAGGAGCAGTTTCCCACGGAGGCTTAGGATGCTGGTGGGGGCTGCAGTCCAGTTGTGTCTGCCTGGACAGGTGTCTTTTTCTAATCCATCAGAGGAGTTGCCCCCAAAGCAGAGGTTCTGCTTTCAGTGACTCAGCACTCAGATTGAAGCTGTCCCTTTGGGAAGCTTCAGTAAGGTCAAGGGAAGGGAGGGAAAAATAGGTGTCTGCTTAAAACTAGTGCAGGAAATGTTGCTACTGGTGGGGTTTTTTGTTTTTGTTTTTCCTCTTATTTTTAATTGACACTGTAATGATTGTACATATTTATGGGATACAGAGTGATATATGGATATAATGAATAATGATCAAATCCAAATCCAAGTACTAATAATTACCATATCTATCACCTCAAACATTTTACCATTTCTTTGTGTTGTGGACATTCTAAATCCTCTCCTCTAGCTTTTTTTTTTTTTTTTTTTTGTGAGACAGGGTCTTGCTCTGTCACCAGGCTGGAGTGCAGGGGTGGGATTCGTAGCTCACTGTAGCCTCCAATTCCTGGGCTCAAGTGATCCTGCAGCCTCAGCCTCACAAGTGCGAGCCACCACAGCCGGTTAATTTTTCTTATTTTTTTATAGAGACAGGGTCTGGCTGTGTTGCCCAGGCTGGTCTTGAGCTCCTAGCCTTAAGCAATCCTCCCACCTTGACCTTCCAAAGTGCTGGGGTTATAGATCTGAGCCACCATGTCTGGCCTCTTCTAGCTTTTTAAAAATATACAATAAATTATAGTTAACCATATTCACCCTGCAGTGTTGTGAAACACTAGAACTTATTCCTCCGATGTGAATGTAACTTTGTATCTGTTAACCAACCGCTCCCCATACTCTCCTCCCCCTTTCATTCCCAGCCTTTAATACCGACCATTCTGCTCTCTACTTCCATGAGCTCAGTTTTTTTTTTAGCTTCCACATATGAGTGAGTGAGAGCATCTGGTATTTCTCTTTCTGTGCCTGACTTATTTTGCTTAAATAATATCCGCAAGGCTCATCCATGTTGCCACCAATGATAAGATTTCGTTCTTTTTTATGGCTCAAGTAGTATCTCATTGTATATATATATAGCACATTTTCCTTATCCACCTGTTGATGGCCACTCAGGTTGACCCCATCTTAGCTGTCGTGGGCAGCGCTGCAATAAACATGGGCGTGCAGGTGTCCCTTTGATATACTGACTTCCTTTCCCGTGAACAAATCCCCAGCAGTGGGATTGCTGGATCGTGTGGTAGTTCTAGTTGTGGTTTTCTGAGAACGCTCCATACTGTTTTCCATACTGACTGTACAGAGAAAAACCTAAAGAAACTGTCAGAACTAATAAGCGGATTCAGTTGCCAGATACACAGTCAACATACAAAAATCAGCAGCACCATACACCATAACCAGCTAGCTGAAAAAGAAATTGCAACAGCAATCCCATTTATAATAGCTACCAAAAAATAAATAAAATACCTAGGAATGAATTTACCAAGAAGGTGGAAGACCTCTACAATGAAAACTACAAAACTCTGATGAAAGAAAAACAATTCTAAAATTCATATAGAGCCAAAAAAGGGCCCAAATAGCCAAAGCCATCCTGAGCAAAAAGAACAAAGCTGGAGGCGTCACACTACCTTACTTCAAAAGATACTACAAAGCCATAGTAACCAGAACAGTGTGGCATTCATACAAAAACAGATACATAGACCCATGGAACAGACTAGAGAACCCAGAAGTAAATCCATGTATTTATAGCCAATTGATTTTCAACAACGTCACCACAAGCATGTTGGAAAAACATAGTCTCTTTAATATAACAGTGCTGGGAAAACTGGACATCCGCATGCAGAAGAATGAAGCTGGTGGGTTTTGTCTGTGCGTTTATTTGAGTTTGATTTTGCTACAAGGGAACTAGCCAGCTAACTGCTTAATTATCACCAATATTTCCCCGGAGACTATTTGGCTGCCAAAGGACAGTAGAAAAGAGACCCAAAATGGGGTCCCAAAGTCTAATAGAGAAATACAGGTGAGAGGGAGAAGCAGCAGTACAAAATGTGTAAAACAGAAGAGGCCTTTTGATAAAGGTGATAGACAGGGAAGGACAGACCTCGGGGCCTGGAGCATCAGGAAGACCTTAAAGGGCGTGAGATGATGAGAGGCTCAGAGAGACGCTGTGTCCTCCCCAGGTGAGCCCTGGTGGGGTGGCAGGCCTGCACCTCCGCCCCTCCCACCGCCCACCCCCGTGAAGAACCTTCCTGATGCTCCGATAATAACCAGGTGGTTGCCGCGGCACATTGCCGCAGCTGCCCTGTTCTGCTCTGATGGCCTGTTTGATGGCCTGTTTGACGGCGGCCCCAGGAGCCTCGGGCGCACTGCTTCCCTCCAGAGGCACGTGTGTGGCTGCAGGTGGGCACTCCCCAGTCTTCCTGCCCTGCCCTCGGGAACGAACCCTCCCCCCTGGGCTGCTCGCGGCCTCTGACCCCCAGAGGACCCTCAGGACCCTCTTTGTCCTGTGTGATTTTCCCTTTCCGTTCTAGCAACCCCCACGTCAGGAAACATGCCCGGTCGAGTCCCCAGCCGCCACCCCAGCTACTGTGGCATTTGTTTGCTCTTCCGTGCCACCTTTCTGAGCAGAGTTGTTGGCACATGCGGCCTGCTTTGTCACCCTGTCCTCTGAAGTTGTCTTGGACTTAATTTGCTTTGAGGGGCGCGTTAGAAGGATTTGCCGGAAACTGCAGCCAGTCTCTGGGCAGTTGCCTTACAGCGGGGCAGGGTGTATCTCTGGCCTCTTACCTGCCCCTCTGGCACAGAGCCTGCATTCTTCCCAGACTTTGTGAAGCCGTCAGCAGCAGCCACAGTTTGGTGATTGCATTTGTTTCCCGAATCTTGCCCTCACAGGAAAGCTAGCCTGCCCTACCCCTCCTCACTCCGCTAAGCTCCCGTGTTCCCACAGTGCTTGTCATTCGAGTACACGATGCGTTGTTTGCATTGTTGTCGTCTGCTTCACCTTGCTAGAATGTCAGCTCCACACAGTAGGGATTTGTTCTCTCTTTTTGTTGTTTTTTTACTGCTCTACCCCAAGTTTCTAGACTAGAGCCTGGTACATAGGAAGCACTTCATAAATATTTGTGGAACAAGTGAAAGGAAGACAAAAATCAGTTAATACGGAGTAGTTTTGAGGCTTTGACTCACAAAAGTGAATGCAAGCAGCATCTCAAAAGAAGCCCGTTCCCACGCACCCCGTCCCACCGGGTCTTGGCCATCAAGCAGACAGCGCCAGCATCCTGCCTCCTGCTCAAGCCGCGCCTGTCCTTGATTATCCCTGACGAGCACATCCAGTTGACTCTGTCTCAGAAACACACCTGGAATGTGCCGCTTCTCTTTTTTGTCTCTGCCGCTAACCTAGTGGCCTAGTTCAGGCCACTTTTGTCTCCTCCAGTCCACAGCGACAGCCTCTGGACGGGCCTCCCCCTATTCGTGTCGCCTCGCTGAATCCATTCTCCACGGGGCAGCCAAGCGATTGGTCACTAAGGATTTTGGCTAGCTGCTGGAGAGTGACCCAAACAAAACAAGTTTATTTCTGTCTCAGCCACAGTTCAGATGTGGGGCCGTACAGCTGTCACGGTGGCTGTCCGGAAGCTTACCCAAGGAGCTGAGTTACTTCTATGTGGTTCCACCAACTTCTAGGGATGTTGTCCTCAGCTGTGTGGTCAAGGTCATGCTCACCATTACCATGTCCAAAATTCAGCCAGAGGGGACAGAGGAAGTAGAAAGCAATTTTCTTTTTTTAAAGGACAAGCCCCAGAAATTAGAGTCACTGC